TATATATATATATATATATATATATATATATATGCACATGTATAGTGCGTACGCCACTGCTTGCATATTTTAAATTTTACTAACGATAGAAAAAATATTTAAATGTTTGAGATACGGAAGCAAATGTAATTATGGAATTTTGTTTAAATCTTTTTTTCGAGGTTTCAACGAGTTTTCAAAACATGATTCTATCTTTTAATTTTTATAATTTTTACAGATAATTAAAAGACATAAATCGATTCCATCAAAAGATATAGATTCCACGAAAGGTATAATCTTGTCTAATCATTTTTCTAGATTAATCGCACTTTTACTAGCATTACTATTTTTTTTTTTTTTTTTTTTTTTTATGATTTAAGAAAATCATTCTAATTGTTGTTTTGAGTATTATTCAGATATTTTAGAATTGATATTTTATAATCGAACGATTAGTTGAAATCTTGAAAAATTGACTCTGTTAAAACAAACACTGTTGTAATATTTCTTCATACAAGCTGGAAATCTGAATTTTTTCTCAAGAAACTCGGAAACGATAGAAACAAATATTTTAAGGATTGATAAGATTAACTTTTCATAATTAATTCTATACATATCTGTAGTTTTGCATTTAAACAATCTTACACTTACGTTTTCGCTTATCTTTTTGCAAAAATTGTTACAGAAGTATAAATTAAAATTAAAATTAATTCTCAGTTATTCACTTTAACACTGTTTAATACTATTAAATTCAAAAAATTTTATTCTTTATTTTCGATTTATTTTTTCACGTAGAATCATCTCTCCGATCATTGATACGACATTGCTGTATTACAGAAAATATTTTCGATCTTTTCCTATATAGAATCTTGCGTAAATCTTTTCATTGAAATACATTTTGATGGTCTTTACGATATCACTTTCAAATCGAATCAGTAATAATTTACGTTTAAGAAACTGTAATAAAATGTGATTTGAATATCGAGAGAAAAATGAGGTGCTAGAAAGATATGATGGTCAGATATGAAATATTTGCTTCTGTCGTATTGATTTCATTTGGAACAGCATTATAACTGACTCGCTAACATATCCAGTAATTTGTAGTTAGCGAGCAGGATGATCATTTCTATTGAGGTCTTTGCAATTTCAGTTAAGTTCATTCAAAGTCTGTAAAAAGTTATTTAAATGATTGTATCAATCATGATACGAAGTACCATGTTGATCATTATATGAAGTAGAAGTGATCGATTCGATCTGTGAAGCGCTCTTCCTTTGCAAGGAACGTGTT